CATGCTCCCAGCAGATCTGTGAGTCTGCACTGACATACACAGTATTAAACAGCAGGTCCAGTGGCCAGCTTTGAGGGTGAATTGGGGTGATGAACTGTGCATACCTTTTGCCATCTGCTTACTGTCTGAGCTGTGTCAGGTCATACCAGCTGACCCATCCTAGGATATTTGGTGAAGAAACACTAACATCATTTGAAGTTGTTAGGGTTGTTAGTTGTCCAGTTTTGCGGTCTTGGGGGACACTGTTGATAATTGCTGATTTTGTTCCTCTTGCTGTGTTCTAAACTGCTTTCTTATTTCATGAACAATGAGAAAATATTGGAAGCTATTTAGACGAGTATGTGATTTTATACAATCCAGACTTATTGAAGTTAGTGTATCCTGATTTTTATCTTTCCCTCTGCAGTGTTTGACTAGTGGAAAAAGCTTTGTTTACCTACAAACAGCTATAAATGTAGGGGTGGCTTTTGCTTTGCTTACGTGAAGACCCTGTGGAAAAACAGGTTTTCAAAGTGGTCAGCTAGAGGTTATGTGTGGAAATCCTGTTGGGATAACCAGTATTATTTCTGCTGTACAAAAAGTGCTGTTGGTGAGTGAATCTACTTAGGTGATGGATGCTGTTGTAATGTTAGGACTGAGGACTGAACACAGAATCATGAAGATGATCTGAAATATATTTTAAGAGAATCATTAGATGTGAGTGCCTGTCTCCTGTCTTTATTTCTTGAGAAATAGCACTTAGCATCTGACCCACCTGTGGAGTAGGGTACATCTCCACAAAAATAAGAACAACAAAATCCCACGAGAATTGCCAGGAGATGGCAGGTGCTGCAAAATCCTGCCTTTCACTAATGTGTTTGCATGTTCTGGGCAAGCATTGGCTTCTTTTATCTTTCACTGTTAACAGGCACAAAGTGGAGAGCAAGAACTTCTTGGAAGCTGGTACCGTGGCATGTACAGTGAGTGAGAAAGTATGAAGCAGATAAAAGAGTTGGCAGTCATGATGCTCTCACCATACATTGAATCCCCAAAACCATTGCAACAGTTTATGCTAGCCAGTGAGCACAGATTGCTCTGCAGCAAAACATCTGTAAATTCTAGCGTGGCTGTGCTGAGCTAACCTGCCCTGGAGCCTGCAGTGGCAGTTGCAACAAGCATTGCAGATTCTATCTTAAATGTGTATGTAAATCATGATGGGGAGTCTCTGTGTCATGTTTTTGATTTATAAAGGTTGGAATCTGCAGTCAGTTATACCCATGCAGATCTAGTTAAGAAAATGAGATTGCCAAGGTGTAAGTGAGGTTGGACGTTAATGCTTCATCTGGTATGTAATTATATGATTGTTCACCTGTGAAGCACGATTTATTCCAGCTCTCTGTTGTGCAGAATGAGAAATTACTAGAGGTAAAATCTTCAAGGTACTGCAGTAATATAAACAATAATTTTTTAAAAAGAGAATTAAATGCTATTAAAGGCAGCAGATAAGACTGTCCATATATACATATGGGGAGCCAAGAAAGAAAGTGGCATTTTTCACACAGTGACTTCTTAAAGCTGAACCACACTTGTGTCTGTGTGGTCTCCTGCTGGGATCTTTGGTCTTGGTAAAACGTTTCTCACAGAGGAGCTGTCTCATTATTCCTATTCCATTGTCAACATTTCTAGAAACTGTTGTATGAACTGTTATTCATAATGGAAGAATACATTCTGTATCATAGCAACCTAATTGTCATTTAAGTTTCCTGAAGCCACAGATTGCAGGCTTCAAATGACTATGGTAATAACAATAGTAAGCCACTGTATTTTCTTAATTACAGAACAGGAAAGGAAAAAAAATGTGACTCTTCTTCAGCCTGTTATTTAGTGAGGCATACCTCTGTTGAGTTTTCACACACCAACTGTGTGACTTACACAGCTAGTTCCTTGCAGTTAGCCCTGTGTTCCTGCCTTTGCAATGTAGTACTAAGGGGATCTCCTACACCTTACTTCAGCAGATCAAATATACCTAGCCAGCCTGCTCCAAGGTATGCTGGCAGCTACTTTGGACCCAAACAGTCGTGGCTGTTCATTTTAGTCATAGTCTGATGTTTTTACCTACCCATGTAGAGAGTAGGATCCCAGATGCCACTTAGTTCTACAGCTTCTTTCCTCTCATATAGTGCCATAATAGAGCCTAATGTGGCATGTTATCAACATATGGTAGAGCTGTCTCAAATATCTGTATAGATATCACCAGATGCAAAGCTAATGCCCAGTCCTACAAATGCTGAAAGAAACAGAATGTATATAATTAAAAGTCAAACTGGGTTATAAAATTTCCTGCATACTACAGTTTTGAGGCTAGAACTCAAAACTGTATGGAAAGAATCATATGGAAGACAGGTACTTCTTACTTGGAATCTGTCACTGTTTTTAAGGTGTCCCTGGTCCTGCAAGAGAGGGCTGATGTGAGATGTACTTGACTATTCCCTTCCCTCCCTAGGACACACAAAAAGAATGGAGAAAGCAAAATCTTTAACCCATTTTTTTTTCCCTGTCTGCTTTCTGTTGCTGAATTTGCATGGACTGTGCTGTAATCTGTCTAGGCCATCTGAGAAGGAATTTTGATTCTGAAATATTTCTGTTCCACTAGGTCTTCAGAGTTCCTGGAGTGGAGCACTATTTGCTCCCCTCTTTTCTAAGGGATGTTCTGAAGTCATTAGTTACTGCTTTGAGAGTACGAATTTCAACGCAATGCTTTTCTGTAGAAGTTTTCCAACTCTTTACATCTTGAAGTATCCAAAATGGGAATGAGATATTTTTGGCCTTGTCAGTAGAAAAATACCCAATTGGTCAAGTTAGTAAAATACAGTCCATTTGATTGATTTCACTTAAGTTGACAGCAACAGTGTTTAAAATCCATGTTTATATGTTTAACCTCTGGAAAATAAAAGGTTAAAGCCCTTTTTCCTTCAAGCTAGAGATGCTCAGATTACCTCAGGAAATGCCAAAGTATATGTCTAACTAATTGTAAAACTCAATCTTCAAAAGACAAAAAATAAAACACGAAAAAAAGGGCCAAAATAAGGTTGATTCTTGGAAGTGCATCAGTTATTGGCATAGGAGCTGAATCAGCAATGAATTCTGAATCCATCTGTAGCTCTGTTGTGTTTTTACTGTGGTTTGTCATACTGGAATGTGTCATTTGTTGTTAGTGGAAAGTATTCTTCCTTCATCCTGAAGACTCTGTGAATGCATTTTAAGCATGTCAAGACACAGTTTGTTATCATAATGTCCTGGCAGTGTAATTGGAAAGTATACCACATGCATATTTGAATATTTGTAAGGATTTTATGTATTTTCCATTATTCTGCTTAAGAATGTATTGTAGCAAATTAGTGTTGTGGCTTCACCAAAATTTTGAGAAGACATGTTGTAGTTGAATAATGCACTGATTCTCCTAAGGCACTTTTGAGTTAAATCTAATTTTTACCCTGTCTGACAAATAGGACAATTAAATGTCTGACTTGAATACCAAACAACATTCCTACTAAACCTGTCTCAGGAGCCAGGAAATTACAAAGGTAGCTCAAAGTTTAAAGGTCGGGTTTTACTGAGCTGCTTGAAGTTTTGTGTCTCCACCAGCTTCTACAGAAAGAGTAGGTGATCTCTTAAAAACACCTGTTGGGATGTAGAAAGTTGTCTCCATTGAATCACTAGAGTTTACTGCAACCTTACTACTTAGCTTACTGCAATTTTAGCATTTAGTGTATATTTAGTTTTATTCATTGGTAAGCATTTTCTTGCATTTGGTCACTTCTCATTTTCATATTCAAAAACATACTTTACATATACATACTTTGTACAGCAAAATCTGTGACCACCAAAGAATATTGATGGATTTTTCTCACCTCAAATAAAGTGCAAGTGTTCTTCCTTCTGGTGAGTGGTAGGAAAGATGCTGGAATGGATAAGATAAACCAATATTAATGCTCTCTAGGACATAATTATGTTTCCTTATTCCATCTTTTAGCTGGCTGTAAACAGCTGATCTTCAACTGTGTGCCTCACATTATAATTTGTAACACTTAATGATGAATTAATTTGAAATACAGGTTATAATTTAGTTATTTATGAAATAAAAAACATACTGTGATCTGCTGTATTACTCTCTGATCTAGTGTTTACCCCTAAATTTTTAACTATTTATGTTTACTTCATGTGGACCAGACATTTCATAGTGCTCTGAGGGCTAATGATTTATTTGTGAGTTTATATCTTCATTTATAAATCCTTAATTTGCTTGCAAAGGACAATGACTGACTCTCTCACAGGACAATTAACAAGTATCAGTTTTGGATAATTGTGGACTGTTATGAACATCCCATAGAGACCTGTGGTTTGAATGTAATTCTCATTGCTGAGGCTGAAGTCTTTGCTCAAACAAAGCTTTCTTTGAAGTTCATACAAGCTTTTACTAGTAGAAGAAGATGGGATAGGATTCCTGCCATGTTCATTCTTCCTACTCATACTACCATCTTAGGTAATAATAGTTAGATGTGGGTTTCTATAGTTATATGAAGAGTACCTGCAAATTGGACATAATTATATAATATTACTAAAGACTTATTTTAGCAGTCAGAAGAGAGTGTATTTGGAGACAGCCAGTCCCATTCATCACAGTTAAAGGATGAAAAATGTATTTATCTTGAGGAAGGGACATCTGAAGTGCTGTATTTCTGGACGGAGCATTGTGTTTTCAAATAATTGCTTATCTCATATAGTTTATATAAAATGTAATTGTTAGCAGCTTGCAAATTCAACAGATGTTACGATTCACTATTAAAGGGTGTTTTTTGAGAAACTTGTGATCAGGCAGCAAGTGATTGCTTTCCAGAAGCTGTACAAAAAGTGCCTATTATCTCACCTCCTCTAAGAGTAGAGGTTTGTGTTGAAACTGTTTTGTCAGCCTGCTGAATTTTAACTTACTTCATTGCTCTTTCATTTCTGTGTACTTTCAGGAATTATTTACCTGATCTCAGCTCTTGGCCACTTGACGCATTCTGCGCTCTTCCTGACTGTTTCTGCGCAGGATGGGGGTGGCCTTCCCTCTGCCACCAATGCAGCCATCACAATAAACATCCTTCAGACTGCTTTGGCCCCTGCCATATTTGAGAGATCCCGGTATACATTTTCTGTTCCTGAAGATACACCTGAAGACAGCCCAATTGGCACTGTAAAGGCCAGAGAGCCTCCAAGTAAGTTGCATGCTCAGCCAGAGATTACATTGCAGTTTGGGGTTTTTTGTGGCAATTAACTGGAAATACTTACAAATAATTTTTTTTAAACTTTCATATTATTCATTCAGGGTGTCAAGCGTTAAATAGTATTTACTGTTCGTATTTACAGCAATTGATGTAATCACTGCTGTATCAGGATGCCTTTTTGAACAGATTGAGATCCATGATACTCTCCTTGGTGGTGCATTTTCTTCCAGTTGTATTTCTGTAATTGCAAGTGGAGAGACTGGGAGCATATTGTAAAAGTGTGAGGAAGGATTTGTATTATGGTATGGCTTCTGTTAAAGCATTAGCTATGCAAGAAGAATCTCAGAGCAATACTCACGATGAGAGAGTATTCAGAAGCTTCAGAGAGCCCTGACAGCCATATATATTTGTTTCCTATTCAGAACAGTGGGAGCCATAAGTCCACATGCCAACCTAATAATGGATCTATACATGTAAGGTGGTAGAGGCAGAGGTTTTATATAAGTTTGATTAGTCAGGTCCTCCCACTAAAGGACCACTGTTCTCACGGTAAGGTAGCATCTGCAGGGCAGCCTTGGCAGTAAGCTTTTGCTTTAGGCAGCATCCGATGTATAAGGGTGATAGCAATGGTTGTCCATGAACAGAAAGTTCAGTAAACTGAAATTTGTTCAGAGAACTGCCAGCTGTTTCATTCCTTGCTATAGTGAAGGTCTGCGTGTAGTGAAATTACTCCCATAAGACTAATTTATAGGAGTGTTTTTTTCTATATTTTAGATCAGGGAAAACCAAGAGGGTATTATACTATTTTCTCAATAGAGTTTTATCATACCAGTGGATGAAAATCAAATGACACATAAGTGGACAAACTGTATACAATCATGTTTTACTGAGGAGTTCCAGCGACAGGAAAAAGGAAGCATAAAAAGCCCAAATATCTGTGTAGCTTACATTTATTCCACTGAATTTAACAGCATGCCTCCTTTACAGATGTTCTTTACCTACACTAATGTTATCACTTTCGTATTTTTTTACTTTTTTTTGTGGTTATTTCCATTTCTAGATTCTTTAGAAGTGGTTTCTTACAGAATTTCCTCTGGTGATCCACATGGAAGATTCTCTATTGACCCCCAGTTTGGCATCATCCGCACAAAAAGCCAGCTTGACCATGAAACTCAGTCTGTTGTGGTGCTCACTGTTCAGTCACAGTTGGGTAACTCCCCTGTCTACAGTAGCACCCAGGTCAACATATCTGTGATAGATATTAATGACAACCCCCCAGTATTTCTTACCAGATCCGATAAGGTAACTATTTCACATACCCAGCCTCCTGGCACTGCTGTCTACATTGCTCATGCAGAAGACAAAGACAGTGGCTTAAACGGGGCTATCAAATATAGTATTGTAAGCAAGCAGTCAAATCCTTTTAGCATTGATCCAAGCCTTGGAGTGGTAAACCTCACCAGGACAGTGTTTGGAATATACTCTGCATATAGTAGCTGAAGACTGTGGGAGTCCTCCTCTGACTTCTTTGCTGATGTTGACAGTGATTATTGAAGAGCAGAAGATGGGCCCTACTTTGGTTTTTCAAAACTTGGTCTATCAAGTAGAAATCAGTGAAGCTACTTCTCCAGGTGCCCGAATCCTTCAGGTTAAAGCCCATTCACTTGATCTACACAGTGGTACCTCCAAACTGACGTATTCTTTAGAGCCTAGCATGGATTCTATTGCATTTGGAATCAGCTCTGATACTGGTTGGCTTTATCTTCGGAAACATTTGAACTATGAATGTACACAGATACTAAGTTTTAGAGCACTGGTCAGCACCTCTGAGGATGAAAACCTCAGGCAAAATGCAAGTACATCGGTAATAATTAATGTCCTGGATGAAAATGATAATCCTCCTGTGTTTATGCATGAGAGTTACTTCTTTGAAATGGAGGAAAATCCGGTTCCTAGGGGTGTGGTTGGCACGATTACAGCTATTGACAAAGACTCAGGAAGAAATGGACGACTTTCCTATTTCCTCTTGTCTGATGGAAAATATTTCAAGATGAATTCCAACACAGGTAGCATTTTATGATTTGTGATCTGCTTAATAGTGCTTTTGGAAAGCAGCCTTCCCTAAGGGAATGGAAGCAAAGTGTAAAGCTTTCAGGAACTGCTGTGAATCTCTTGGGTTGGTATGTGAATATTCTAACTCAAGGCTTCACTATTTGGGGAATGAAATAAAATTAATACATATTCATGAAGAATGAACTAACCCTTAGGATTTTTTTCATTACTCCATTCTGGTCACTTGGTCATAAGTTTTAGTGTTTGACTGTAACAGATTAAAAGAAGAAGTTTTGAGCTACAGCTTTAGTAGTTCATATGACGAACTTAATTGCCTGTGATCAAGTACAGTTGAAAAGTACAAATCGGCCATAAATAACTATAATGGGAACTATGACATTTGACAGTTACAGTGATTTAAATACTTGTGGAAAGTTCTGTAACTTACATCAAAACCGAGTTCATGTTGTACATGGCACCAAAGAAATCAAACTGGCTGAGAAAATTTTTTCATGGCACATGGTGTACCCAGCAGGGAATCCCAAATGTCTTAGTAATAGGTACTATGTCCACACAGCCCAACAATACTGACCACAGCATAGAGGGCCCCGAGGAAGGGAATCCTGTAAGGAACACCGGAACTGTAAATAATTCTGTTTAACAAAATGATACGTAGCGAGCAAAGATCTGCCATTTAAAATTCCTGTTCCCAGATGTCCTGTCCTCATGGGAATTGAATAGGCTTTCCCAGAATTTCTCTGTGTGAGTCTCAAAATAAAATTGCCATTTCAAAGCAGGTTTTGGTTAAGTATGTTTATGGAAGTTTAAAGGCAAATAGTGTACTAGGAGTTAATCTGGAAGATCTTAAAATAATGTGTGGTTATCTATATGAAGGACTGTGGTCAACCACAAATCTACAGCTATATTGAATATGGCTGAGCAGATGGAGAGAAGATTGGGTCAGATTTATTCAGTGGGTTTACTAGAACATATAGGAGACATAAGGGTTCCTGATTAATATAGAGAGATTGTATTGAGAACTTCTTAACCTGGGGACATAATAAAGGCCATTTGTCAGCAGTTAAAACCCTGTGCTCCTGTGCTCCTATATTGTTTGTCCTGAAGTGTGGTGAAGAACAGGCCAGATGAATTTCTTTGGAAGGCCAGTGCAGTGGTTTGTACCGTATTACACCTTCTCCCTGGGGCATCCACAGTGCAGTAAAGAAAGTAACATGGTGCTTAAGTAGAAGGGCAAACTGTGATTGGCAGAATGCTTCTATGGAATGGAACTTGGAAAGCTGAGGTTTTAATGTCAGCAGTAAGGTGTATGAGAAGACATGTATCATTATTTCACATTAAATTGAATGTATAACTGCATGTAGTATATACCTAACTCCCTTTCTACTTCATTTTCTTTGTTCATTAGGTGAAATCATCAACTGGGTTGCACTGGATCGTGAAAAACAAGCTCACCACCAGCTTACCGTGCTAGTGACCGACCACGGGTCACCGAGGCTCAATGCCACAGCAGCCGTGTACATCACCGTGAGGGACCTCAACGACAACAAGCCCTTCTTCCCTCAGGCGGCACCGGGGCAGGGGCTGCACCTTAAGGTGGGTGCAGCCGGCGGGATGCGCTGCCTTGCTCCGAGCACCACCCTGTGGCAGGAGCCCAAATCCCCCGTGCTCTGAAACAGAAACTGCATTGAGACTTGGGTATATTTGGGAGTTTCAAAATTTATCAAATGATTACAAAAGATTGGATACTGGTAGATGTAGAGGATATATACATGTAATTTTATTTATGTATGCATTAGAATATCTTTTAATTTCTGACCTCTGAGCCTGCTTAACTGAAGCTTTTTGAATTAGCATTGAATATATGCAGACTATAACAGAAGACTGCTGTATTATTTAGCCACTTCATGAAACTCTCTTTGCACTGACTGTAAATATTAATGAAACTTAAAACAGAGCAACAGCTAAACTCTTGTGTTATGGCAAGGAATTTATTTTAAGACTCACAGTTATCCATTGTGTATTTCCAAATTATTTATAAACTGCTTGATGACAGGTTTTGGAAGGGCAGCCACCAGGGACACTTATTACCACTGTCTTTGCAAAAGACCCTGATTCTGGAAACAACGGTGTTGTGGTATATTCAGTAGAATCAGGTAAGAATTTAAAGTGTTATTCATAAGAAAAGATACATTGAAGTAGAGTTTTAAAACTAGGGTATACAGGATGTTATGTCTGTTTTGTGTCTGTTTGAATGAATGTGTTTGTGTAAATAGGGGTCAGGACATCATATGTCTTATGAAGTATTTAAGGAAGTGCAAACAGTTACCTTTCCTCCCTTCCCTCTCTGCCCCATCTTCCTAGGGCTTTGATTGCTTGATTGCTGGCTGGCCAGAGAGCATTCAAACAGCACTTAGGAAAGATTAGGACCATGATCTTGTACTGTACAGTTTAGTATTTCAGTCGTTTAACATCTTAAAGGAAAAATTATCTCCCTTTTCCAATGACTAATTGAAAATTTTCCTGCTAAAAGAATGGTTCATGACAGTCTGAGACAGGGATTGGAAGGATCAGCACATAATCTGGGCAGACAGTGAGGCTTGTGGGTTTTAGCTCATGTTTCACCCTTTGTTTAGCATTGTGTTAGCCTGACATAGTGTGGCCACTTTAAAAACACTTCTTCTCTATAGTTTTCCCTGTAATTCCTACCTGTAGTAGTTCACTTGTAGGGTAAGCTATGGGATCCAGTTTTGTATGCAGTGGAATCGATAACAGAGCAGCCCTGAATTAGAACATTAGTGAGACTGGAGCATTAATGCGGGTTAGAGATATAGATGTGATCTCTGGTTTTGCCACATACCACTTGCTAGTTTTACACAAGAGATCTCCATCTGTAACAAATGAGGAAAACATGACTGTTACTCCTGCCCTGCTTCACTATTGGCTTGAAACAGCAAGAGGTGCCAAGAACAGAACTACTTACTTAATTTTGGTACCTGCTTTCTTTACAAGCTTACTGTAATCAATACCTTTTAAGCTTGATGTTTGTGGTAATTACACATGGAGCATACTGTTTCATTAGAGCAAAAAAGCATTTCTGGTATTTCCATCCACTCAGTGCATTTTCTCAAGTGTTCTTTTCTGTGTAGGCAGAGCTCAAATACGGGTAACGAACAAAATACTGCAAACCTACATTACTCCTCACTCTTGAAGAGCAAGGGAATCTATAGCCTCTTCTTTCCAAGGCTGAAATTACCAAAAGAATCCCATGAATTATGTTACACTATATATTTATGTACCCTTTCGACTTCTGTGGAGTAATGGAAGGACTTTAAGATTCAACTAACTCTGCTCTCTTCCAACAAAAGATGCTTAAAAAAATGAGACATTTAACAACTCTAGTAAAAATTTTGCAGTTGAAAATATTTAGATAATAAAAGATTGTAGGGTCAGTTTATGGCTGTGCTATTATTCCCTTAATTTGGATACAAGTGACTGCCTCTTCCAGAGAGAGTTGGAGAAAATTATACATTTCTGCATTGTGAATAACAATATTTTGCACAGAATGATCCCCCTTAAGAAAAAGGGAATGTGTAGTATGCAATCCTTTGTTTGAAGGATGATGGCCAAACAAAAAGGGAAGTGTTCTTCAGGGGTCTCTGCCTGTCTGTATATCTAGCTATATCCCCTTTTTCCAAACAGCACATTGGATGTTTTTTACTGGCTTCACTGTAGAGCCCCAGAGGGGGGAGTAAGTAGGAGTTCAAATTATAAAAATGACTAGCAACACAAAATATGACTGGTCTTGTAAATGCTGTCTCTAGAAAGAACAAAAGGATAAAAACAGCAGCAAAAAAAACCACACTAGAAGAGCCCTCTCAGCCTTGGAACTAGATATTTTCCTGATAAACAAATCCAGAAACAGCTGAGCTTCTCTGATACTAATTTTTGTTGTTGTTGTTGTGAGTTGGCTCACAGCCTTTAACATCTGGTCTTCTGTTTCATGGTGAAGTTCTTGCCTGGTTTGTATTTAAAATAGTATTTTTAAATTCTGGGACATTGTTCAGTACTAACATATGAAGAAGAAATATGATCTGATTTGCAGCCGTATTTGTTAAACACAAAGACACCAGGTTAATTGGAGGACTGCATGCAGACCAGTGCTCTTTTCAACAGTTGAGGCACTGCCACAAGACTAAGAGCTGTGAGTGTCAGTGTCAGCTGTTAAGCTTGTTAGAGTCACTGGGTAATTTTTAATGTTCTCGAGACCTTCAAGAAATGCCAAGATAGCAGCAATAGATCAAGCTATGCAGGAGGGCTGATGACTGATGCCAACAAATGACATAAGGAAAAAATCTGTGAAAGAACTCTGAGGTTTACACAGCCGATGAATTTTAGCATTCACAGAAGTGTTTCCTTCAAAATGCCCCTCCCTCTTTCCAGAAAATCTCATTCCAGAAAATCAAACCAAATCCTCCTTACACATTCATATATATGGAAATGCATAAACAATGGCCATACCTCCACTTTTGTGTTATCGCTGAAAGAGTAACTGAATTCAGAGGGAGGTGAATCTCAGCTATGTGTACTATTCCTTAGTGACGCTGGCAATTGCAAAGTGATTTGCCTGGACTTCTTTGCGACTCTCAATAGGCTGTACATGTATAACATGTTTTGTTATACATGCGCATGTATAACAAAAATCATTCTGTATTTGTAGTGCATTATAAACTATTGCTTTGTATGTTAAGACTAGCGCTGGCAAAGTAGAGGCTTTTGCAGTTTTATTTGGACAACTGTGTGCATACATTGGTACTTGACCACCAGAGTGCTAGGAGAAGTCTAGTTTGCCCTGCTAACACACATGAATTGGCAAGTGTTGAACGTATGTCTGTGGAGAAGTACTTGTTCTCCAGGGTAATTTGCAAGCAGCATGCAGGGAGCATTTCTAGACTTGCAGAAGGCTGTGTTTCTGCAGCAGCTGCATGGTATTGAAGTTCTTTGGGAGCCATGGATTCTTATTGCAGTACCAGACAAAAAAAAAAAAAAAAGATGAAACACTTTCAAAATGGAAGTCCCAAGGGATTCTGGTTTTACACAATATCTCTTTCCAACATTATCAGATTTTTCTGTCACTTTCATTGCCACCAAAATAAGCACAAAACTGGCTGTTTCATGCCATGCTAGGATTTTAGTGGAATTGTGGGCTCTGGTGAGTAACATTATTGGTAATTTCTGACCAGCTCTCTTTATATTCAGAAATCTAGATTCTGACTGTTTCTTTTTCCTGTCAAATAAGCTTCAACCATTTAGAAGCACTATCTATGTTCTGCTACATGAAACAGAAAAACAAGTATTGGTCTTTATGCTAAGAGGTACTGACTATCCTCATCACTCCTGAAACAAGGATGAATCCTTATAGCCTCATGCTCAGATTGCAGTTATGTACTGGGAATGTTTTTGTTCTCTGATTATGATGTTTTAAGCTACTTTTTATTTTTGGTTCAGTTTGGTAACTGTAGCTTTATTTTGGTTGAAAAATTAAGGGAATAGTCTTCTGTTAACTGTTTTCTTGCTAGTTCTCCCTATCAGTTATTTTAAATGTCTGTTTTAGCAAAATGTTAAAATTCTGTGCATGCAATTCACATTATGTGTTCTGTTTTTCATATCTCCTCTGCCTTTTGCTTAGCTGGGATTTTGTGCTGTGAAACATTATATGGAACAAAATAGCATATCTGTGAATGTAGACACACTGTTGGGACCTAAATCAGGAAAGTAACCAAAAGCTATTTATGAAAACAGTAATATAGCAGCGTTAATATTTTGAAACTCTCATGAAAAATGCAGAGTGCGGGACTGTCTCATCCAATATAATTGTGTCTACATATTATTTCCTTTGTCGTCAATTTCCTTGTTACGTTCCAGACTGCAAGAGTCAACCCAGAAGGGACTCATGGAGCATTAGAAACTTATAGTCAGTCAAACCCAGCAGAACGATATTCAAAAAAGCTCTCCAATTTGTTGATTGTGAACCCCCTGGTTTGTGACTGGACTGCTCAGTGTTGTTTCCAAATTGTACAGGTGCAAATATTTTGCAGCTGCAGGTGAGGTGATTGTATACAAAAATGAACATCTGTATGTGCAGCTAACTAATTTGCGTGTGCAGATTTGGAGAACATAATCGGCTTCATGCTCACTTAGGTGCCTATGGAAATAGAGTTCTTTATGGATGTTTTGTGTACTACATCTGCACTGAATTTATTTTTACCACTGTTGCATATTAGGATTGCAGCTGTTATGCTGCATGACATTGTTTAACTCACTAGCACACCTTAATAAAAATCCATGTAACAAAAAGTTGTTTGCATAGTATTCTAAGAGGGAAGTAGTTATAACAAATTCTATTTTCTCAGTTTCTGGTAAGGTATACCAAGTAATAGATACTTTCCCATTTTACTAAAAATCGAAGAGTAATTTGTGTTGCATTTCTTGAAAATGAAGGAGGTGGGAGTCAGTCTCTTTCCCAGGTAACAAGTGATAGGAGAAGAGGAAATGGCCTCAAATTGTGCCAGGGGAGGTTTTGATTGGATATTAGGAAACATTTCTTCATGTAAAGGGTTGTCAAGCATTGGAACAGGCTGCCCAGGGAAGTGATTGAGTCACCATCCCTGGAGGTATTTAAAAGACATGTAGATGTGGCACTCTGGGACATGGTTTAATGGTGGACTTGGTAGTGTTAGGTTTATGGTTGGACTCAATGATTTTCAGGGTCTGTTCCAACCTAAACAATTCTATGATTCTGAGTCACAAGCAGCTATTTACTCTTCTGTGGTAGAATTTTTCTTTGCAACTCTAGCATAAATGTAGTATGATGTAGCTGCAAGTAGTAATTTTAACTGGAAGTTGCTTGTTACTAGCATGCAGCCAGTCTTTGATGAAGGATGTAAGCGTAATTTCCAATATTCACATGTTGCTCTGCAACAATATACTGTAAGATTTTAGCTACCACCAGTTACCTTCCAGTTCAGAGCACAGGCAGGGCAGGTGGCATCACTGCGGTTATGGTGTCTTAGAAGTGGCTAGGGCTCTTTGCTTATCCATAGTCTATGAGGGACATGAGCCAGCTGTGTGCCCAGCATTGTTTACTTGACCATTCATGCCATTTCAGAGACTAAGACTTAGTTTTCATTCTGGCCCTGCCTGCCAACTTGGGTTGGAAGTAGGAGTACCGATCCTGAGGTGCCTGCTGCTCTCAATGGTGTGAATAACAATGGTATAAAGTTGAGCAGTTGCTTTAGTACTCCACAGTGTTTCTCTCTGTAGCTTTCTAAATCCAGAGTAAGTGGTTTATAATAACTGCTTACTTGATGAAGGAAGAAAGGTGAATCAAGTGAGCCACAGACAGCTACCATGAGTGCAGCAGGTTCCCTTTCCTCTGTGTCCTTCTCTTTCTTACTGTTGATTACAATGTTCAGTACTATAGGGGCAAGCTGAAGAGATCTGCAGTAACTCGTACCCATTTTATCCCCTAGAACAGGATAAAAGATACTTCCAGATCAATGCTGTCAGTGGGGAGTTAAGAACAACCCGGTCTCTGTCACATGCTGAGAGATCAGACTACAGAATGATGGTCACAGCCAGGGACCAGGGGATGCCTTCACTTCAAGGACATGCTGCTGTTTACATCCAGGTGCTTATTTATGCTGTACGGATAGAACAGTTATGTTAGATACTGAGTTTCTTTTGGAAAAAAAAAGTAAAAATTGGGGGGAGAAGCTAGGGAAAAAAGAAGTTCAAAATTAGAAGAAAGGAAGAAGTTCAAAATTACAAGCACCTTGTCTTATGGTAGTTTAGCTGTTTTTCTGTTGAGGGAAGAAGCGAGAGAGCAGACTCATTTTGATTTGTTAAGAATGCACAACAGCATTCTGGGTTGTCTTGCAAGTAGGTGATATTTGTGCTTTAGTAGGAGGTCATTATGAACACTGGAAAAGAGAAGGAAAATACTCTGTCTCTGTAACCCAGTATGAGGATAGCTCATTCTTTTGTGCCGGTTTATACAGGGCTGCTCTGCATGGGAACGTGAAATCCAGCATGTGCTCTTTCCACAGCCAGCCGCCTGCTGTTCATCGAGCCGCAGAGGGGCTGCTTTGTCCAGGCTGCCTGTGTGCTCCTTTATCAGAGGTTGAATGTCATTGAGGCTGCTATTTTCTTGCACCCAAAAGGTGGTTAACTTTGGATAGCTTGGGGAAAAAAACCCACAAACTTCAGTCAAGACAAAGCAAATGCAGATCCCACAGCTGAAGAGATTCTTTCCTTTTAAAGCATTAACTTAGAACACTTCAGCAATCTCTAATGAATGAAACCCTGTAATGGTATAAACAACCCTCAAAGAACCCCAGCTATCTCTCTTTGGCAAACTGCATAATGTACTATGCTTTCTTTGTCACATCTGTCCCTGTCGTGCTGTCCTATGTAGAAAGTCAGTTGAAGTGTTTCAGAGTAGGGGCAGAGATAGTAATATTCAAGCAGTCTGTCTTTGGACCCTGTGATGCAAAGGGTGAAAGACAGTCTTGTCCCTTTTTTTTTAATGTAGGAATGAAAAATAGTTATAGAATGACTGGCCAAGGACAATTTTAACTTCTGTGGAGCATGTTCAGTTTGTTTTCTGGCTTTGAGGCATACTTAGGATAAATATAATTACAAATAATAAATTACTACAGAAAAAGAAATCATTATACTATTCGTAATAACAATGGCAAAATATTGTAGTCTTTGTGCTTTTGTTGCAGGTAATCCCACTTCCCATTGGGAGATCTGTCTTCTCTCAAGATTTCAAGCACTTTGTCATACCTGAAAATTTTAGACCTGCGCAAGTGTTGAATTCTCTGAAGTGGCCTGATAATCATCTAACTCCCAACAGAAAACTGCATTTCAGTATTGCCAGAGATGATGATGATGTTCATTTTGAAATAGATAGCTTGACAGGAGACCTTTTCCTTTCCAAGGAACTTGACTACGAATCAGCTTCACACTTCCTTTTGCAAGTTATTATAAAGGATTATAATAATAATCCTCCACAGAATAGCACTGTCTTCCTACGTATTGATGTAGAAGATAAGAATGATCATTCTCCTTTTTTTCAAGATGACTTTGTAGTGATTGGCATAGAAGAAAATGTACCTATTGGCACTCTCATTTACACATTCAATGCAAAAGATGGAGATGGCAGTTTCCTGAACAGCAAAATACAATATTCCCTAGAAATCAGTAACATGGATGAAAATTTATTTCATATTCACCCTTTGTATGGCACCTTGACCACAGCTTTTGCACTGGACAGGGAAATTATTCCCTCTGTGATCCTTACAGTGTCTGCGACAGACCAGGCAATAAATCTGACTGATCGCAGGCTTGATTCCCTGGCTGTGAAAGTTGTTATTTTAGATATCAATGACAACAGTCCCTGTTTTACTTCTTCACATTTTTCCTATGTCATGGAGGATGTGGAGGTGGGCTTCCTTGTGCACCGCATAATTGCAAAGGATCCTGATGAGGGAAGAAATGGACAAGTTACATACCACATTGTTTCAGGCAATGAAAACAAAGCATTTGTATTGGATAAAATCACAGGTACTGTAACTTCTGTTCTCTGGAGTTTCTTGTACTGTGCTTCTCATGGTAATATTTGGGAGTACACACAATGCCATGTGCATGAAGTACCATGTTTTACTACGATACTCTGGCCAGGTGACTTATCATCCTCAGGGGTGATAACTTTGGGCAGAGCACCACACAAGCATGGCAGTACTACGTGCAGTAGGCAAGCTCAGTGACACTCAGCTCAAAAATTCTGCATGACACTGTTACTGTGTATGTAGATGTATTGGAGCACCTTCCAAATAGCACTTTAAGGAATGTGGGAAGAAAGTGTGTGCGGTGAAATGCTTCCATTCTCATTTTTGCATGATGCACCCATATGTTACTATATATAAACACAAGGAAAGGCAAAGTCAGGATCAAGGAGTGTGCATTACACTGTGATGGAACATGCTTGGTGGTGGCTCAAAGTGCTAATGAATTTCATTAGCCCTCTGAAATTTTCACATTCCTGAATGAGTTGTGCAACTATTACACCATCTGCACACAAGTGCAGATCTCACCCTAATAGTTGCAATATTTGCTGGTTCTTGCTCTGGTTTTGAATACATTAGGGGATACAGCTGATGCTAATTCATAGAGCTCCTAGTTGCATAACTTACGGGCAAATGAAGACAAATATTTAAGTTAAGTAAAACTAAAAAGTTGAGCCCGAAGTTAAATAAAAAGGAATCTCTGAACTTCACTTGAACATTCTATGAATCCCAGTTTCCCTTGGTGTCAAAATCAGTATTTCTGGGCAAATTGTCACTCTCATCACAGGTAATGATTGACTCCAAAATCTGGAAGCCTTGCCGCAGTGGCACAGTATGCACGGTGATGCTACATTGAAGCTGTGAGTGCTGGAACAACTGGTATCCTAACCTGGACCAGAATACTTTTTTAATACCTTCAGAATACTTTGTAAATAACTTCTTTCTTTATAATAGGACTCTTAACTACAGCCCAGCTTCTGGACCATGAGACTCAGGAGTGCTACAATTTGACAGTCATGGCTCTTGATGATGGCAGCCCAGCTCTCTCTGCCACACAAGTTCTAACCGTCATTGTTGTCGATGTTAATGATGAGACCCCGATATTTCTGAAGCAACTCTACGAGACTGCAGTTCATGAAAACCAAGATCCAGGGCAGTTTGTCATAAAAGTGGAAGCTGTGGACAGAGATGCAGGTAATTTCTGTCTTTTGCTATTAATTTAATGTGGACCATAGTAGATGTATCAAATCTTGCTGCCTGTTCTGCTTGCTCATACAGCCGTTGTGCTTTGACCAAGGTATATATCAGTTTTGAGTCTCAAATCATGGCCTTTGGTTCAGACCCTCAATCTTTATTCAGGTCTTGGAGGTATTCTGACTTGCACACTGGGATAGTTTCAGCTCTGACTGGTGTATTAAATGTATAACGTACACTTGCATGATGAGAGTAGCTCAGCGTGCAGTAGCTTTCATGTGAAGGTAGCCGGCGTGCTCTGGTTATAAATCAGCAAGCACTGCTCAACTCAGTTAAAGTCAATATTTGAACGTTTTGTTGCTCTCAATCAGAGCGTTTTGAATAGTTCTAAAATGGTTCGCGAAACAAGGGTCCTGGTTTCGTAAAAGACCCTGCAAATATGCACTAATATTTTCTGACCAGAGAGGGGCACTGTCATCCAAGATTTTCCAGCCTGTTGCTCTGTCGCGGAATCGTGGAACAGCTCTGGATTCCAAATAGGATTTTACATACATAATAATGTTAATACACTGCTTTTCAAACATATGCCGAATAGATGAATAAGAAGAGGTGGTTCATACACTATCTGAATCATAGGTAATGACTAAACGTGAGAGATTCTTTGCAAAGCAACAAAAAAAATCCCTCTGTTTCTACAACTACCTGCTCTTTGGAAATATCTAAAATGCATATGATGTTACAGGTAGTCTGTGTGCTGGAGAGAATCTTACCTTAAGTAATACCAGGTACAGCACATACAGTTGGTGTAACATGAAGCAGTTACACAGAGTCTGTGGTTTGCAGGGAAGAGAAAATCTGGAAAGAGAATTAAATATTACAGTACTGCTGCAATTGGCCCAAAGGTGGTCTGAACTCTGTAAATTACTGTCTTTTTACTGTGGGTTCACTTTCTGCACATCTTTATAATTGTTTACAATTGTGTTATCCAAGAAATAGATAAAACAACAGATCTTGTTAGCAAAATAATTTTCTGTATTCAGTAATATTTGTGATTTTAATGTAGAGCATCTGTTGATTGCAAAAGGCTGATGTGAGCTCAGTGGAGTTGCTATATAGAAGAGACATTTCGCCACAAATATGTAAAGTATTTAGAAAGTGTGTGTGTGTGTGAGCTCTGTCAATGAAAAACCTCGTGACAGCTGAGCAGCATTACAGTCTACCTCTGTACCTTGCTCTTCTGAGTGTTTTCCTTCTTTTGTGGATCACACTATTAAAAAAAAAAGTGAAGATAATAGAGAAAATAAGTAGGAATTTGTTTTATTTCCTCTTCCTCCTTTCTCTGTCCCTTATATTTATTTATTTATTGCACATCTTATGGGAACTACAGCAGAGGGAAATCTGGGGACCTGCTAGGAAGAGAGCATGGGGCTGGTTTGGCTGGGTGGAGAGGAAAGCCATTCCAAGTGTACTGGGTGGCACAGTGTGCGCCTGCCTGCGTAGACACTTTGGGCTTGAGCACTGTTGTGGCTGATGGCTCCTTCCTGCTTTTTTTAAATACATTTTCCAGTAACCACAGTTCTTCTGTTGGCTTTTTTTTCCCCCACATTTGCCTGATTTGGCCCCTGTCATGTGCATGTAGCAATATAGTTCCAAACAAATGCTGAAGTGATGCTCATAAGGTAAGAAAATAGGATTTATATTGGTGTCATAGATACAATGCTGCTCACTTTTCTTACATTTTTGGAACTGAATTTTTGAATGAGATGACTCCTCTCATGGTGGTCTTTATTTATTTATTATTTTTTTTTTACATCCTATTTTTTACTTTTGTTTCTCTTTAAATTGCAGTTCACATCCCGGTAATGTTTGCATAGTTTCAGTGGAGGACTTTCCTGCCATCATAGATCTTTTTGGGTTTTTTGGCTTCATATGTTCCTTGACTGACCACAGGGAGGAATCATTTTTACTGTTAATATAAGCCTTGTTCTACCACTGTGTAATACAGGTAAATGGTGGGGGGAAAATGCACAGATAGATATCTGCAGCACATTAAAGATAGGTCAGGGATTTGTCTTGAGATTTGTCTTTGCAGAAGCTCTGAATGAACTGAACTAGCATTTGTCAAGGTCTGCTTTTGAGCTGGTGTGCACCTCTGTGGTTTAGTAGTTATGTCTGGAGCCTTAGGAGGAAAATCTCAGAACGATAATAGGGACTGCTGACTTGCAGTTATGAGACAGGGCATGCTGCCATTCACTAGACATTTTATCTTGCTCAAATTCATGTATTAAGCATAGCCTTAACAACACTCATATTATAAAGATGACACTTGAGCCTAGATTTGGGACAAGAGAGACGTTTTTCCCATTGCTTCTTCACTGGTGTCGGCACAAGACAGATCTACAATGTAATGCCACAGCTGCTGCTTCTGAGAAGCTGTGGGAGCACAGGGGCTGCTGGTGCTGTGGCAAGGGAACAGAAAATGGGATGAAGCTTTTCGCTGGCTGCTGTTCAGGCACCATGCATCCGCCCTACCATTTCGCCTGCCCAGAAAGGGGTCCTGCCCGGCTGGTGGCAAAGAAGGAGCTTAGCTCCAATTCCAGCTTGCAATGCAGGGTAAGAATTGTTTGTTTGCCATTTCAGTGTGTAATTTCATTTCGACCCCCCAAATGTGACTAGCATTACTGAATAATTAACCAACAGGTTGGATCAAGTGCAGACCTGTCAGCTGTTGTGCCATGGTATGTGAATGCACAGAGTCATCATGCTCCTCTCTTGGGCAGGGTGCACAGCTTTCTCCTGCTGCTAGATGTACTCTCCTAGCAGCTGATTATGAAAAAGAAGGCAATAAGTGCTTGGTAAAAAAGTCCAATTAAGGTGTCACATATCTGTGTCCTTGAAGTGTTAAAAATGTAATTTCAACAGTGTGTGAATGGTTATCTTGAATGGCACCTGTATGTTTTTTTAGCACTGTCTGTAAATAATGGCCCTTGTGAAATCTACCAGTGAAGGCACTGGGTTGAAGAAGTTCAGTTGCAGCAGACCAAAGGCTAATAGTTAATATCAGCTCTGCAATGTCATGTGTCTTTTTTTATCCCCCATCTGTAGCATATTGGTGATTAAGGATAGCTAAATGCAGGCAGAGTTGTAAATACATTTTTAAAAATAGCTGAATGGTATCCAATACGGGTAGATCAGAGTGCGTGTTGGTAACCTTAAACTTTCAAGACATTCTTCTTGATTGTCCTTACTGCTGTGATTTTTCTCCTCTCTGCTGGAAAGCTGGAAGGATTTCTGTAACTCATTTTTCCTTCTGCTGTGTACTGTATGAGTATGTCTTTCCCTTGACTTCATTTAGGCACAAATGCATTTACAGTAGTAATTCTCTTAATCAAATTTTGAGTAGTGTTGTCAACTATTTAGCAAAGCTATTCAAAGGCAAACAAAGGAAATCATGAATGTTAAAAACTGTAGGCTCTGTTTCTTCTCTCATGCTGGTATTTCTCCACCAATTCCAGTACAGATTGTCCTGTTTTGACTGCAGCAGATGAGAACAGGCAAGCAGTGTTTGACTCTGAATAGCAGATTTCGTATGACTAAGAGTGCTGTAGTTTTCCAGGTGCACCAACTGTCCCTACTCTACTAAAAGACTGATTGTTGGTTGAAAAAACACGAAATGATTGGATGAAACTTAGAAAAATTTGAAAGAAAAAGAAAAGAAAAAGCACAATAGTACAAGACCTTCAAGTATAGTGTAGGATTAAACTCACTAAAATTAATAATAAAAGTGTGATGGAGATGACATTGTACTTTCCTCAGGAGGGTGTTGAAACTAGAAGGAATATGAAAGAAATTATTTTATAACCGTAATAGGTAAGAATGTGGAATCATACTTCTTATTCAACTCAGTCAGGCAACTTTGAAAGAAAGGTTTTCAAAAGCCTGTACAGTTTTAGCCTATTTCCTAGAGAAAGACAGGAAGGCTAATATCCCTGTGCTATATACAAATGGTAGGTATGATTAAGAACTGAATGGAATTGGCATTCAGAAAAACCTGGAGGGAAGGAAACTATTTAAGCCTTCCCTTCTGGAAATCCTGCACAATTTTATAAAACCAAGCAGTATCATTTCAGAGACTGGCTACAAGTGGGAGCAGTCTAAAAGGTCTGAGATGAACATTCCCGTAGCACACCAAATTGGCTTTTCTCTTGAAGACAACTAGGAGCTGGCTAGCCTGTGAGCCCTGATGGGGCTTAGGCACCTGCATGCTCAGTATAATGAATGTTTAGAACTGGTGGTCATGCCAAGAAGTGGATGTTTTTTCTGAATGTTTATACTGTTCAGTGTCATACTGTATAGAGATACTTGCTTTGGCTCCGAGTGAAGTTAAGTGGAGAACCAGAGCAGCCTGGTACTCTGCCTGACATCCTGTAGAGAAATAAACTAACTACCTTGGGAAAGCAGAAGACAAATGTATGGATTCCACTAATCTAATGCTCTCTTACATCATGTTAATATGTCAGCTTGTTTGGAGACATGTCCGGAGTGCCTAGAGATGTTGTTGGGGTCACTTTGGTTAGCTGGAAAACTTAGACACAAAGCAGCATCTGGACAAGGATTTTGAAGAACCAGATTTTAAATTTGTATCTTGTATGCTGATGAAGAAGCAGTTACTCACTGTATTAAAAATAAAATCATTCATAACCCACTTCTCAGGGAGAGGGAGAAGAAAGAGGTAAATCTATAGACCTGAATGTGTGTCTGTGTTCTACTAAGACTTCCATTCTGCTTTTAAGGACTGAATTCCTTGCTTCGATATGAAATCTTACCAGGACCTGACTATGAGAAATTCAAGATGAACTCAGACAGTGGAGAACTCATAACAACTGCATCACTGGACAGGGAAACCCAGGAGGTTTTCCGTATTAAAGGTAACAGTGTGAAATATCTATGAGTGCCTGTAAAATAAGAAGTGAGCATGGGTGTGGTGTTACTATCAGCATTACCCTTTTTCGTGCCATCTGAAGATTTTCAGATACAGAAGAGAACTTTTTGCACAACACGAAGAGCTCTCCTATTCTGCTATGATTAAGGAACATCTATTGCTGAGCCTGCAACCACTGTATAAAATTTGGTTTCTTTTTATTAATCTTAGTTTTGGTTCGAGATAGTGGATCCCCGTCACTTTCGAGCACAGTGACAGTTATCTGCACAGTGCTGGATGAAAACGATCACTCTCCCGCATTTCTTCTTCCCACCTCTGAGATTTGTATTCCAGAGAATCAAGAGCCTTCTGCCACTTACATTATCCGGGCTGTAGACATGGATGCTGGCAATAATGGAGCTCTAAGATACAAAATAATTGGTAAGTTATACTCCATCATTTTTGTTAGTATAAAGCGGGAAGTATATAAACAGCAGTATCCAAGTTTTAGATTTTACCAGGCCTCCCTAGCTCCCATCTTGTCCGTGTGCTTATTTCATGTGGAAGAAAAAAAGATCTTTCACCCCTTTGTTAGCATTAATAAGCATTTGCCAGGCTTTCTGGATTTGAAATAGTACAGAAAAGAAAAACAAAAAAACCCTACCAAATGCTGGAAGAAGGCATTAATCATGAGGGCATAATTTTGTCCATTTTGTTACAGTTATGGAATTTCTGAGTGTAATATGCCCTTGCAAACAAGTACAATAATGAATCTAATTTTATTTATTTAATTTTGTCTATTTTATTTCATGAGAGCTTCTTTCACCGAGCAATTAGTAATGTCATACTTGGTTTTCATGTTGCTGAAATCTCCCCATGTCTGCTGTGCCAATGTAAGCTCCACAGCTGTTCAAAACCTCCTGTAATATCTTTGCGCAAATACAAGTTTGCTGCGCTTACTCTGGTTTGTGGCTCTCAGCAGTATCTCAAATGTAGGCAAATAGCTACTGTGGTAATAGCCAACATATTTTTCTTTGAAGAAACAGTTATAAATTCCTTTATGTTTGGTTGGATTTAATTTCACAATCTTTTATGATTC